AAAGAGAATAATACATAAAGTTTCCATCCTTGGCATGAGGTAAATTAAATTAAATTATCCCAAGTGATCTGTGTACCAACAAAGCCACCAAATTTTCTAAGGCTACAAGTTCTATTTCTTACTCTTCATACCAAGATAACTCATGAAGCAAAGTGAGCCTACAGACCAACATTTATAAAAGAGTACAAACAATCCCTTTCAATAACTACCCTTTTGTCAGAGTAGGCCATTCTTTAATATATAGTTCTTGTATTTAATCATCACATTTACATTAGTCATTTCCTACATGGTCCCACGTTGAATGCTATACAGATGACAGCCATACTATGTCTTCTGTTACATCTATCAGTTACTTGGTAACTACTAGCTATTTTATAAAATGAATGAAATATCAGGAAGTTGGTTTCAGATTACCTGTGGTAAATCTCAGTTCTATTTTACTTCTGTCTCTAATTATTCATTCAGTAAATGTTTGTTCAAAAGTCTTGAATACTATTATGAGTAGAGAACCTACTTGCTGGAAGGCCTGTTACACCAGAACAGCTAAACCTAAACAAATACACTGCCACTGGGCCAAATGATAACTTAATCTGTATCCACAAAACATGTTGACTATCAGATCTAATCAAATTAGAATGCAAAGTAGTGAATTATAAATTTGCACACATGAAGACTATGCTTAATTGTGTACATAATTAAATGGCTTTGTAAGTGGAAGTACCTGCTTCCCTCCTCCAACGCTGTTTTTGTGGCAGTGTCCAAAAAAAAACGGAAAAAAAACCCCACGACCTTACAGGACCAGGTTTCACATTCGATCTCAGTAAAAAAAGATCGAGTGTAGAGTCAGTAAGGTGCTTCATAGTTACCTGTGAACACTCCTGACTCCCTACTTCCCCATAAAACATTGAACTCAGTTATTGCTAACTGTTTAGAACAGAAATTTAAAAAAAAATTAATCTTTTATTAATTCTTTTAAGTGAAGACAGCAAGGAGGATGTTTTAGGAAAATCTACCAACAGCAAAGTTACCTATCTTTATCTGCTGCTTTCTTAGCCACACCTATGTGGCTCTGAATCCTCAGCGCACCGCACGTGTCCTGACCCCAGACCTTTACTCTAACATGGGCCAGCATTTTCGGCATCCTGTCACCTTTTTTTAAGTCCTATTTTTCATCCTGTACTTGGTGGAATTTTAAAGCATGTTTACTGTTTGTGTTACATAGAAAATTTTAACAACTATGTAATTGTTATTTTCTTTTTCTTTCCTACTTTTAACCAGCATCTGCCTCTAGAAGTAGGCAGAAGAGAACGTAATTTACTTAGAATTACAGAAATTGTGATGTGTCAAGTAACAAATGGAACTGAGCAAAGGAATGGCCCTTACAAATAGAATGTATGAGATTACACAGTATTTTTCGTGCTCAGTCAATAGCATTACTTTTTACCACTCTTTTCAGTTTAATAATTTCCCATAACAACTTTGCCTATAGCTTGAAACTTACATGCAGGCTGTGAATTTTTCCACAAAGCCTAAACCATACTAGGTACAATAGAATTAAAAACTAAATAAGGTTTGCTTTATTTCCTCTGCAGTTAAATTCAAAAAGGCAAATAAAGCCTCAGGGAGATCATCTTAGCAGATAATTATTCAATTAAAGAACACATAAACACTATTAATATTATATCAGGGTCTTGGCGCTATCATTTTAAACAAATGAAGCATAACAATAGAAACATTCAAGCTTAAAAGATCAAAGCATGTTGGCTTTCAAAGTTCTTTGTAAGTGGAGGAAGAAAATCTTGACAGGACCTTACTCCTCCTGTAAAGCAAATAACCTGCACTGTTCTATAAAATATTTACAAGAATGCTTTTATTTGTTATTGCTATTGTTGTTTTGCTACTGTGGGGTTTTTTGTTACAATATTTCACAAAACATTTTCAATAATAATTAAGTCAGTTACCAGAAGCTATAACTACATTTACTTAAGAGTTTATCCCCATCTAATCTGAGCCCGTATCAATCTTAACAGAAAATTAGTTCTAACAAAAGAGAGTACTTATTGTGTCTGACAAAATATTATCCCATCAGCAGCAGCATTAAGTCCTGAATGAAGGCCAGAACAAAGTTTTTAAAGAAAACACTCAAAAAGAGAACCTGAGAGGCGACACCTTTCTTTGTAAATTGAGGCAATAGAATATAATGAAAGATTGTACCATGACACAGTAAGGTATGCAAATAGTAGTTTAACACATTACATAAAAAGATGCAAACCAGATGACAAGTCAGCCCTATTTATAGACTATATCAGCCCATAAGGCATGTTAATAATTCTCAAGGTTTACCTACATGCAAACTTTCAGTAGAGGTACCTCATTCTCCTCCATAGATCAGGTTAGCATCAGCCATTTATAGATCTCAAAATACAATCTCCTCACCATGTAGCCTTCCATTTTTTCAGGCTTAGTTAGATCCTCCAACAAAATTTTACGTGAAAGAGGTGGAACCAAGGAATCCATTTCACTATGGAAATTCTGATCCTTCAACACTGTGTCAATTAGCCTCTTTTCTCAGCAATAGTTTTCCTGCACTGGTTTCATCACTTTTTCCTTTGATCCCATTCCTTCTAGCTCTACCTGTAAGATTCCCAGCTATCCAGATTATCCCAACACATTCAGAAGCTTGCTCTTCTGCTGGGACAGTACCTTAGAGGGAGAGTGCAAGCAAGTGCACACATGTGTGTGCGCACAGGAGAAGCAATATTCTCAAAACATTCAGTGCATGTCTTGAAATAATGTTAAGCCTTAATGTCAAGAATTAACCTCATATGACATTTCCTCCCTCCTCTCTTCTCATACAAAAACTTTTGTCTCCAGCTCTTAGGTGCAGACAACACCAAGCTGAATGGTGCAGTGGATACAATAGAGGGAAGGAATGTCATCCAGATGGACCTGGACAGGCTGGATAAGTGGGCCCATGAGAACCTAATGAGGTTCAACAAGGCCAAGTACAGGGTGTTGCACTTGGGCCGGGGCAATCCCAGGTACTTGTATAGACTGAGAGAAGAACTCCTTGAGAGCAGCCCTGCGGAGAAGGACTTGGGGGTCCTGGTGGACGAGAAGCTGGACATGAGCCAGCAGTGTGCGCTTGCAGCCCAGAAGGCCAACTATGTCCTGGGCTGCATTAAAAAAAGGGGTGGCCAGCAGGAAGAGGGAGGTGATTCTCTCCCTCTACTCTGCTCTTGTGAGACCCTATCTGGAGCACTGTGTCCAGGCCCGAGGTCCCCAACACAAGAAAGATGTGGAGCTCTTGGAACAAGTCCAGAGGAGGGCCATAAAGATGATCAGAGGGCTGGAGCACCTCTCCTATGAAGAAAGGTTGAGGGAACTGGGCTTGTTTAGCTTGGAGAAGAGAAGGCTCCAGGGAGACCTCATTGC